GTTGGAGGGGTTATTGGGAGTTCTGGACTAGGCTACCAGCTGGGCTGCCCGGGTCACCCTATTTTCCCGGGCGGCTTGGCCGTGCAAGGACCAGGAAAGGTCCTAGCAAAAAAAAATAAAAAATAAAAAATTCTGAAAAAAAACTATGTTATGCAGGAAAATAAACTGAACAACTTTTGCTTAGGGTTACATCGAAATTCTTTACCAAATTTAAAATAAAAAATTTAATTAAAAAATAATTTGTATTTTTACTATTTTACTATTTTTTATTTTTTTTTATTTTGTTTTGGCCCGGCCGGGCAAGTGGTCCCGGGCCACTCTGGTAGATTGTGGACCCTTTTTTTTTTTTTGCGGGGTGTCAACGACCCCTGACTGATAAGTGCCGACCAGCTGACTGGTCGGCAGCCGACCGTCGGGGTATGCTGCACTGACACCTGGTCATTATAGTTGTATTTGGTGCAACTTTCAGTCCAGATGCGGTGATATTGACCGGGCGTTCTATTCGGGGTGAAGACAGTAGTAAACTCGGCTATCAACTACGATCATAAGTCTGCTGTGCTAGATGGGAGTGCGCTGTGCACCCATATGAAGACCTGTAGTCAGATGTGGTTAACCAAGGGTGTTATCTTCGGCGAATTTTGCACCGAAACTGTCACATTGTGCTGATTTTTTTTTTTTTCTTGTTTTTTTTTTTGTGTGTGATATATATGTGCTTTAGGGTACGTCAAGTGTCCAGTATTGACATGTTTGGATCAATACTGAAAAAGTTGGCATTTCGTTGAATTCGTTGGATGCTTCGTTTTAACTCGGACAGTGTTTTTGTGCTAGGGTTTTATAGTGTTTTTTTAGTTTTTTTTTCCCGTTTTCTTTGGCCTGTTTCTTTTTTTGATGTTGGCACTATGGGCCCATATTGTTTGTTTTTTAAATTTTCGTCGATTTTCGATGAATTTCGCACCGAAATTGCGGGTGAAAATGAGGGGTTCATCTGGACAACGGAATGGCCGATTACTGTGGGTGAATGTCATCGGTTTAGTATCCCCTGGATTTCCTCACTGAATGACAGAGTATCGGCCCAACCCGGCTTACAGGGTATCTTCCATCAAGGGAGGACGTACGACCTTCTTCCCCCAAATACAACGTACGGTCATTATAACTATATTTAGACTGAAAGACACCCCAAATACAGCTATAATGACCGTTCGTTGTATTCGGGGAAAGAAGAAGGCCGCGGCCTGAATTCCCTGTGTCTAAGGGGGGGGGCGGTACTGCAGCAGTTGGGTCTCATTTTGAAACGTCGAGACTAGCTCTTTCACAATGTAATTGCATGGCATAGATGGCCAGGTGCATGATACGTACCTGTGCGGGGATGCAGATATGTACGTTCTGAGTGCCAGGCTGGGGATTTTGCAACTTAAGTGGCATGCTTTAGTGTAATGAAACCTGCAGATTCTCGGTGGACTGTACAGTAGGCCGAGGGTGAAGCGTGGGCCTCGCCTCGGTCGGGTCCTAGTTTAGGTCAGATTCGTAATGGCCTATACTGATAGACGGTCTTATAGCCTATAGCCGGGTCCGGTAGAGGCCGAGAGGCCGAAACAGCAATGGTACCGGTCGGTCAGTCAGTCCGGTCTAGGTCTAGCGTAGTCTATAGATAGGTTAGGCCCATCGGGTCAGGACTTTTGGCAGTTCATTTCTCGCGAAGCAGCGTTGGAGAAGCCAAGCAAGTTGGTGGCGGTGTCTGTCTGCAGGCGGCATCCTGAGGCTTCGCCGTTGACTGCAGCCATAGCCGGCCCAGTCTGAGTCTGCCATAGCTGGGGCATCCTCAGCGCATCTACCCCTGGGGTATCTGCGTCTGGCCGGGCTATATCGAGGCTCTACACTGTGTACTCGTGGGTGGTGGCAGCCATAGCTGCCTGTTCCTTCGTCAGAGTTGTCCATCGGCACTGAAGACTTCATCGCAGGACCTGTTCTTCGTCAGGGTGGTGGGCGCTGGCCTCTGGGAGGTCATGTTGATGTGGCGCTACTAACTGGGTGTAGGATAGAGAGTGGGGTGTGAGTTCTGCGAGCGGTGAGATACTGGAACAAACTCTGTTACGATAATTGTTTGAGTTGGCTCATCATCAGTGTAATTTCAATTGTTATCCTCGCCGGTTCTACTTGTGATTGGTTGTTGGGAGTGTGTCAGAGAGAGAGAAACACTGTGTGTCTTCTCCCCATCTGTGCATAGCTGTATTCCGCTGCCTACTCTGATCTGTGTGCAGTGTGGACTCTGTCTCCTCTCCCCCTTCTCTTATGCATGTATGGGCGTGTATGAGATTGTCTGTGTGTGAGTGGCGGTAAAAATCGTCAGACAACCAAGTTCATAACATTAGTGCTTACCCCTAATTTAGGTAGCTGGTTTAGCAAGGTGTAGGGACCAGCCCGTGCTAGCCCGCAATTTCGTTTCTGTCTGAGTTGTTTTGCCAAAATGCTGGCACCAGGATTCGATCCCAGAGACCCTGTGGGGGGCTAGACATTGTGTTTTCGGTAGTCGGCACTGCCAGGATTTGAACCTAGGCCTTGGTCAGACTAAGCCAGTGCGTATTTGCTGCAGTCTAGAGCATTAAGGCAGTTTCTTTCAATCCAGTTCCCACTCGCACTGGCAGACCCTTGCCTGTTCGAAGGAAAAAAATAGAGAATAGAACTAGGCCCAATCCAGTTTGCACTCGCACTGGCAGGCCCTTGCCCGGTTCACCTTGTTTTCCCGGGCGGCCCGGCCGTACAAGGACTGGGGAAGGTCCCAGCAAAAAAAGAAAAGAAAAAAAAAGAAAAAAAGATCCAAAAAATCCGGAAAAAAAACTATGTTATGCAGAAAAATAAACCGAACAACTTTTGCCTCAGGGTCACATCGGGATTCTCTAACAAATTTGAAATAAAAAATAAAATTCACAAATAGTTTTTATTTATTTTTATTTTTTAAATTTTTTTTTTGGCCTGGCTGGCAAGTGGTCCCGGGCCACTCTGGTGGCCGAGGAATACAAAGAAAATACAGATGTGAAAATATTTGTTTTATGAATAATCAATATTTTCATGTTGAATGCGGCAGTGCACACTGCACACTCGTGGAAGTAAAAAGAACGAGTAGCCTACTAGCCGTGTTTCACTATTTTGCGCCTTTCAAGTCTGCAGTCAGTGGGGAAGCCTTTTCTTGCTTTGATTCTGCCGCTTGACCCAAGTAGGTGCAGACGTAGCAGCTGAGATCTGTGAGACCCTATACAATCAATTGTTGGTTCCTATTGCTGTGCATTGAAGTCTTGAAGAGTATGGCGGGGCGTACCCTGGTGCTAGGCTACCAGAGTGGCCCGGGGTGACTTGCCCGGCTGGGCCAAAAAGGTAAAAATAAAAAATTTACATTTTATTTTTTATTTTAAATTTGGTGAAGAATTTTGATGTGACCCTGAGGCAAAAGTTGTTCAGTTTATTTTTCTGCATAACATAATTTTTTTTTTTTGGATTTTTTTTTTTTTGGATTTTTTTTTTTTTTTTTTTTKYTGGGRMATTCCTTGTCCTTGCACGGGCTGGCCACCCCGGACCCGGGCGGCCCGGCTGGTAGCCTAGCCCTGGTGGGCATTTCCTTGTGTTTGTAACGTTTCGTGAGTGCCCGATGCGGAAGAAAAGATTATTGATTGTACTACAATTCAGCCAAGTGTGATAATACGAGTTCGAAGTAGAAAGTGAGGTCAATCTCCTCCCCCCCCCCCTTCCCCCTCTTCCCCTTAATGCAAGGCATGGAATCAATTTCGGTTTTTGTGATGTTTGCGTGCTCGACAGTATGGCTGGAAGCCCTGGTGGACATTTCCCATGTGTTTTGGGAAAGTTTCCTGATGAATGGCTGTAGTTCATACGCCTGACAGACGCGTTAAGGGCTTAGGCATTTCTTTTTTTTTTAAAGAAAAATACAGCTGTCTTCTCCTCATATGGGGGACAGCTGTATCTTTTACCTATCCTATTTTCTTCTCTCTTTTAAACTCCCGCTAGCTACTCATATCTATGCCACATCCACAAGCCCTGCGAAGCATATAATGGAGCACCCCTATTCAGGACGAGATTCCAGCTAGGATCTAGGGCTAGGGTCCGAGACTACCTTAAATTCGCTAACCGGAACTAGGCTATCCTAAGGTTATGGGTCTATGTCTACCTTTCTCTGCTCTGCGCGGGAGCAGTACCCAAGCTCCGAACACCTGGTGTGGGCTGGACAGACAACCAGCCAGGAGGCCCAAGCCAACAATCTCCGCCGGTGAACCCGAAGCATCTCCCAGGAGGCCACGGGGATCGAAAGAATGACGTTGGGTATCGAACCCACGACCTCCTGAGTGCCACTTACGTGCTCAACCAACTGAGCTAGCCCGCATTTTAAAGTTGAAGTTGAATGTCAGGTCAGTACTCCCTCCCCCTCCCCCTCCCCCTCCCCCTCCCCCCCAGCCGCTTAGTGCAAGCCTGCAAGGTATGGAATCAATTGCAGTTTCCGATTTTTGCGTGCTCAAGAGTGTGCTGTTTGGCATTTCCCATGTGTTTTGGGAAAGTTTCCTGATGTGGAGCTGCTGCTCATGCGCCCTGGAAAGCTTCCTGATGTATAGCTGTAGTTCATGCGCCTGACAGACGCGTTAAGGGCTTGGGCATTTCTCATGTGTTTAAGAAAAAGGATGTGTTTGGTGTGAAAGAATCGATTCTTGATTGTAAAAGTATTCCATCAATCATGATTCGAATGTGATGAGGATAGTTTGAAATTGAAAGCGAGCTCAATCGTAACATAAGGTATGGAGATGGAATTCTTCGAAACTCCACTTACATCTGTTTCTGTGTCCCTCCCCTCCCACACCCCTCTCGACACCTGCCGTTCCCCTACCCCCCACTGCAAATCTATTGCGAATGTAATATACTAATATGCAGGTATATTAAGTCATTAAAGATTCTGGCTTGCTGTAGGTGTGTGTGAACTTAGCTACGCCTTAGTTGCTAAACCACCAGTACCTCCACCTGTTTAGGCCGTTAACGCGATGGCTGAATCGGTGTGCCGCGCGGGTCCATATGCGTTTGCATCAGAGCCTCCCTGGGGTACTGGTGGTTTAACCACTACTATAAATGTGGTTTAGGTTTAGGTTCAGCCTTAAACCACCAGTACATCCGAAAAAGCAGATTAAGCCTCTCCTAACTCCTAAAAATTTGGAAGCCATAGACCGTCGATAAAATGAATCGGCGTGTCATGGCCTCCTATTTTTTTAGGAGAGGCTCAATCTGGTTTTTCGGATGTACTGGTTGTTTAAGGAAGTTACGGGTGGTTTACCGGTTAAGGTATGTGGACGGTTTGTGGACTTGGGGAGGGGTAAAAAGTGCTTTTCTGTTAAGGGTATGTGGATGTTGCAAGATTTGCAGTAGATGGTTGGTTAAACCACCAGTACCTCCACGCTTTTAGGCCATTAACGTGGTGGCTGAATCGGTGCGCCACGTTGGTCGATAATGCTCCATATGCATTTGCATCAGAGCCTCTCCAGAAGGGGCCTAAGACTCCCTGGGGTACTGGTGGTGTAAAGTTTAAATGCGTATGGTATGTGGGCGGTTTAGTGCTTTGGGTGTATGGGTTGTTTTGTGCGTTGCATGTGTGGGTCGTTTAGTCCTTTGGTGAAGGGTGGTTCAGGGCTTAGGGTTTATGGGTGATTAAGGGACTTGGGTTTGTGGGTTGTCAGGGATGAGGGTTTATGGGTTGCTAAGGGCCCAGGGTTTATGGGTGGTTAAGGGGTTCGGGTGTTTGGGTGGTTAAGTGCTTTAGGGTTTATGGGTGGTCTTACCATTTTGTGTGTGAGTGATGTCTTCAAGAAAGGACAGTAGCAGTCCAAAAGATGATATTCGTCAGAGTAAATTTTTAAATCCGTAAAAAATATATATTAACTTAATTAAGATAATAAAATAAGGCGGTAGAGATCAGACGCAACCCTATAAAAGGGCCTTTACCCGTTCAGACCCTGAATGACGAATGCAGCATAATGGGGCACTCGGCCAGAGCCCAACTCGTGAAAAGCAGATCAAAAGACATGTTCTCTGTGTCAGAAGTCACATCCTCACTAAGTGAGAAGTCATGTCAAAGGTCACAGTCATGCCCCAGGACGAACAGTTGCAGCATTCAATTGTGGGAGTCATACCTGTTTGTCCAGGGGGCTGTGCAGGTCATGTCTGTTCGTGCAGTAGATGTGCCTGTTCGTGCAATAGATGTGTCTGTTCATAAAGAAGTCAAAGAAATAAGGTTCCAGTCCAGATCCAAGTCAAAGGGGGAGTCTAGATGCAGTCTGGAAGTCCGAAAATCAGGCCTCAAGGCCGCCGCAGCAGCAGACCCTGAGGGAAAGGTACTGGGACACACTCCACAGAGGCTTGGGACTGGGGACAGACCCAAGGAAGACTGATTCAGACCTCACGAAGGGAGGTCAGCACTATAAGAGACCAGGCCAGCCTCCCTACACGACAGGTCTCCACTGGCATTGATGCGTGGAAGTGCTGAAGCACTTGTGCGCTAGCATGCAGGGAGAATGCGCTGGCTGGAAGCTGCGCAAGCAGGAGAAGGAGAAGTTGGGCGCTGTTTGGCAGAAGCAGCCATAGCTGCGCCAGCATTATTAGTAGAAGTAGAGGGGTTAGTAGTAGATATCAGTGAATAGCATTCAGAGTAGATCTTCATAAGTAGGGAGTGTGCATGAATGGTGAGACGAGGGAACCAGGACTGGGATCTCATGAAAGAGAGAGAGAGAGAGAGAGAGAGAGAGAGAGAGAGAGAGAAGACAGGTTGTGAAATTAGATATGCTGGATACTTACCTGTTGGCGCCATGCCTGTGATCTGAGGGCAGACGCTGGCTGAGCCAGGCCCTATATTGGTGATTGAACGAGGGAGACTTGTAATCTGTTGGCGCTGAACTCTTGAACTCGAGATACTCTTTGTATAATTTGATTTTGATAATCTGAGCTGCGCTATCTGGTTCTCATCTCATTTCGACTTGGCTTTGTGTGAAGCTTCTTTATCTGTGTGATGAAATCTAAGCATGCGATGTGTAACACTCCAGCAAGCTGTGAACAGTCAGGTTCCTTGCACCTAAGAGCAAGGGAAGTGAAGAGAAAATAAGTACACAATAAAAAATAATAATAATAGAAAACTTGTAAAAGTCTAAAAGAGAGAACTATTAATTAATGAATTGAGTGCTGTTGCATTTTGGTGGATAGTGGCTGAGCTGTGCTTTTGTGATGAATCGGACTTGGGCAGATGAGGACCCGGAGCGAGGAAGACTACCTATGGTAAGTTTTTTTTTTTTTTGTGGTTGAATTCTTTTCCTGGAGTTCTTGTGAGCATTTCCCACTGTTTGTTAAATTACATTATTCTCGTATGAATTTCTTTCGGTCGGGGGGTCCACCAAATTCATCAAGGTGTGCTGAGCAGCGCATGCCTGAGCCTGATTTGTAGAAAGTGATTGGTGCATTATGACAGCACGCCAAGCGTTTTCGGCTGTGTGCTAATGCAACTTTGCAGCGCGCACATGCAATTTTTCGCCCCGTGTGGATGCCACTTTGCAGGCCAAGTGCCATGCAGTTAAAAAACGGGGGGCTGTGACAGACTGTTTGGTTGGAGGTTCACCAACTCACCCGTTAGGCTTTTTAGGCTGAACCCTCGACAGTCTCCAGAGTCCTCTAAGCGACGCCACCTTATATATTACAAGTCAGAGGCGCGCCGCGGCGATGCCGCGGCAGGTGGGGCGCAGTGTGAGTATGTCCCAGAGGGTCTCAGTTTCAGTATATAGTAAGGATAGAGTGTGAGTGTGCCCTAAGTTGCCTGAAGTCCCGGTGTGAGTATGGACTAAGGAGCTGTGAGATGCAAATGTCGCCCCCCGCACGCGCGTGCGCGCGTGCGAGAGAGAGAGAGAGAGAGAGAGAGAGAGAGTTTTCCATCCATAGGATGAGCAAAATGGAAACGAATCTGTCGTTAGAACATGGAAATATACACTGCCACTTTTTCGTTCTTTGGCAGTGTATATTTCCATGGTGTGGCAGTAGAAACTTGCCCATTTTGCTCATTTGGCGAAGCGTGGCAATGTCGGTCTGCGTGTGTGTGTGTGTAGGATGAGCAAGATCGGAATGAATCTTCAGCCAGAACATGGAAATATACCCTGCCACATTTTTTATTTATTTATTTATTTTTACTTCTTTTTTTTTTGTGTGTGTGTATATGTGTGTGTGTGTGTGTGTGTGTGTGTGTGTGTGTGTGTGTGTGTGTGTGTGTGTGTGTGTGTGTGTGATACTAGATATAGTGATAAGCATCTTCCGGGGCCCGGCTTATGCTTTAAGTATTTAGTAGATACTAGATATAGTGATAAGCTTCCTGATGGGTCAGTGAAACTCCAACAAAACAGTCTGTCAACGCCCCTGTTTCTTTTCCCTTACCCCTTACCCATGTTTCACCAACTCACCACCATTAGGCTGAACCCTCTACGGTCCGCCGGGTAGTTCTCCATGGCTATATACTCTACACATATCCTATTCGTTCTATTGCTATTTGTGTTACCCACACCAGTTTGCACTTTCACCCGTCCATGGTTAGTATCCTGTGGCTACCGTCTTCACCCGAATAGAACGCCTGGTTGGGCGGCTTTTTTTTTTTTTTCCCCCGGTTGGCCGTCGTTTTGTGTCCCCCTTTTTCGTTTTTCATTTCTCACGCCTGTTTCATTTTCCCCCTTTTCCTTTTTTCATCTCGTGCCTGTTTTGTTTTCCCCCTTTTCTGTTTGTCATTTCTCGTGCCTGTTTTTGTTTTCCCCGGTTGGCTGTCGTTTTGTGTTCCCCGTTTCCTTTTTTCATTTCTCGTGCCTGTCGTTTTGTGGCCCCCCTTTTTTCTGTCGCTGGAACGCAGTGCAACTGCGAAGGAAGATGCCATGCTGGTATCCTTCTTCTCCAAACTCTCATGGAATGTACTCGTTGTTTTGGATTGGAACCCCCGAACTCAGCAGGCAAGCGCGAAGCACTCGAAAGAAGCAAAAGATTGCCCAGCACCAGAAAGTTGCAAATTCTCACTAGCAGGTCATACTCAGAAGAGACAGCAGCAGAGTCACACTTGGAATTGTCAGCAATCAGCAGTGTTGCACACCCCGACGGTCGGCGGCCCTTGACTGGTCGGCTGCCGACCCGCCGACCGATCAGCTGGTCGGCACCTAGCAGTCGGGGATCATCGGCACCCCACACTTTTTTTTTTTTTT